TTATTTAAAAATAAATACATAAGATTTTAAAGGCGGGGTGGAGGGATTGCTACTCCTTGCTGATCTGACTGACTGACGATGGCTGGCTTAATTGTCTCTGCTCTGGAGACAGGGTGGGCTTGCCAATCCTGGGCAGCACTGCCCACTGCGGCCAGATTGTGGCCAGCACACAGAATAGTCACTCCACACCCCTACCACTCGGCACAGACCCCCCTCACACCCCAGATCAAAACCACCCTCCTCCTTGTCACCCGTGACCCCTCTGGGACTCGGCCCCAGCGCACCTCCCTCCAGGACAGGGGAACACAGCCTCCGGCTCACCTGCGATCCTGCCGTCGATGGGGGCCTGCGGCACGGCGGGGCAGGGGCAGGCTCCCTTGGCCCTGCAGCCGAGCTCCACACAGTGAGATAAGCTGAGGGACTCCTCCCTGCCGAGGCGCCACCTGGTCAGGTCGGGAGTATCCAGGTGGCTCAAGGAGCTGGCAAGCCCTGGGTCTGGTGGCTGCTGCAGGAGGCCCCTTTGGAGGGCCACCTGAGAGGGCCTGGTCCCCTCTGCAGGCAAACGAGCACCATTGGTTCTGTGGGCCCAGAGGCTCCCCCAGCCCAGACCCCCTCAATGACATGCCTGGGAGCCCCGTGGGACAGCACTCCTCATGTTCCTCCTCTCTCTGGCCCCTGGTTAGAAGGTCAGGGAGGCAGTGGAGGGCGTGGGTGAGGGCCAGGCTACCCAGGTGCTAACCCAGGCTCCCAGATAAGTAACTTCACCTCTCAAAACTGTTCCCTCATCTGTAAAATTGTTCGCAAAGCCAAGGGGTGACAGAGCCAGCTCCAGAGCCCAGGTGACCTGTATCTCAGTCCAATATCTTTTCCATCCATCCAGTAAATAGTTATTGAAAACCTTCCATGAGTCAGGCATTGTTCTGAGAATCTTGGTGACACATTGCTGAACCCAAAGAAAGCCCCTGCCTTCATTGAGCTTATATTCTAGTTGGTGGGAGGTGGGGGGGAGATTACGACTAAAATAAAAAAGGAAATAGAAACAATATATAATGGGGNCCATGTTGCTTTTACATAGCGAAATGTTACAAGTAATAACAAATAAATATATTGGGTCGAAAAGTCATGACATATTTTTCTATGTTTTTTGTTGTGAAAATGTGTCATGACTTTTCCAACGACCCAATATACTAGTTGGAAACGTAATCAGAGAGACAGTGTGGTGAGGGGGACACGAGGGCCTTGCCACCAGCTGTGTGACTTTAGCCAAGTTGCTTTTTCCTCTCTCTGGGGAGTGGTCAGTGCAGAGTAGGGGCAAAGAGGCTGGACTTTGGTGTCCATTTAAGCCCCAGCTCCACCATTTGGCTGCTGTGTGACTTTGGACAACTTCCTTTACCTCTCTGAATCTGGTTCCCCGGCTATAAAGTGAGGATACGAACATCCATCTCCTGACTTGGTTGTGAGAATTAAACTGCTAATCCACAAAAGCACTTAGCACAGTGTCTGGCACATAGCGTGTGCTCATTAAATGAAATTACTACTCTCTGAGCCTCAGTTTCCCTCCCTGTATTATATGGGGATTGGGCCAGAGAAGCACACCCAAATGTTAGTCATTTGCATCCTTCCAGTCACCAGCAAGACTGAGAGGCAACAAAATAGAGTGGAGTCACAGAGCTACAAGGTCTGGGTTCAAATCCCTGCTCTGCCACTTTCTGGTGCTGACTCTTGAACAAATTGATAAACCACTCTGTGACTCAGTTTCCCCATACGATAATACTTACTCTCATGAGGTTGTTGTAATGATTAAATGAGTTTTAATACAAGTAAAGCCCTCATGGCAATGCTGCCAATCAAACAGCTATACCATTTTAGGAAGTGCTATATATTGCAGATTATCATTATTGTTTTTGTTTTTTTGTTTTTTAGCTGAGCCATCCTGACACCTGTTGGTAGCTCAGCAGCAGCTCAGCTCGGGCTGGGCATTGAACCGCTGTTGCTCAGAACTCATACTCTTGAGCGAGCTCTTAACCAACTGAGCCACTCAGCCAGCCTATCATTATTGTTAATAGTTTTCTTTAAAAGACTCATTTTTTTTTACTTAAGTGAATTAATGTATTTATAGACAAGGACACTTGCTTTATATCATCACTATAAATCATGAGATTGACATGCAAGTGAAAATTTTTAATCCTAATTCTTACTAAAATAAATACAGTAAAACCTTGGATTGCAAGTAAGTTGGATTGCGAGTGTTCCACAAGATGAGCAAACATTTCTAATACATTTTAATGTGCTAAATGAGCAATGTCTTGCAATATGAGTAGTTTGTTTCCGGAACGAATTATGCTCGCAAACCAAGGTATTTCTGTACCGAATTACTGGAATTCCCTGGCAGACACCCATTTAGGGATGGGCATTCCTGGCATTGGGAAAGCTGGTCTCAGTCATTCCCAGGTCTTCCCAGCCCTGACACCAGATGCTCCCGCAAAGCCTGAGACCTGGCTTTCTGTCCCAGCTTCTCCTAGGAAACCAGCTTCCTCATCTGGCCTTACCAACCCACAGTGCATGCCGTGCAATTCGTGTAAACATGCTTTGAAAAGTTCAAATGCTAAGCAAAGGTGAAATTAAGAGATTGAAGGCAAGATTCCAGAGTTTCAGGGACCGTCCCCATCCTCAAGAAATAACTGTCTGTCCCTCGGGATCTCCCAAAATAAAATGATCCCAACACTTC